CGTCGTTTACCTACGCTCATGACTATATTTATTAAGGCAAGATAGACAAATGCGTAACTATGGAGGTTCTAATAAAAGGGTTGAAGTGGGCGATAGCTGTCTATTAAAAGATTTTTCTTCAACGTCTAAATGGCAAGAAGGTACCATTAAAACCAGGTGTCAAATTCTTGACAGAATAGCTTCCTAGCTGAAACCAAAAATTGCCAACATATGTACGCACTTACAGACGGGAAAAATTTATTCTTTAAAAGTTGCTTAAAATGATCTAAAACGTCAATTTTTACGCATGCATTTTGTTTGCTTTTATTAAAAGGACCTACCATCTAAATTTCGTTAAAATTGTTCCATAAATAAGAAAGTTGCATTTCTGCGCATGTGCAACACGATTTTTGCGCATGCATTTTGTTTGCTTTTATTAGAGGGACCTACCATCCAATTTTCGTTAAAATTTCTCCATAAATAAGAAAGTTGGATGTTGCACATGTGCAACTCGATTTTTTGCGCATGCATTTTGTTTTCTTTTATTAGGAGGACCTACCATCCAAATTTCGTTTTAATTGTTCCATAAATAAGAAAATTGCATTTCTGCGCATGCGCAACACGATTTTTGCGCATGAATTTTGTTTGCTTTTATTAAAGGGACTTACCATAAAATTTCGTTTAAATTGCTTCAGAAACAAGATCGTTGCGTTTTGCACATATGCAACACAATTTTTTGACTTTGACAATTTTTTTCTCCGTTTTTTGATAATATAACCCGGCCCAATTTTTTGTAGGTTGTACACAGGAAAATAAGGTCTTCCAAATAATAGAATAAAAATTTTAGGTTGCTATTTGAAAAAAAAAGTTCGATGCCGTTACGGCGCTCCAAAATTTTTTTTCAAAAATCCGGCCCGTTATTTTTCTGTTCGGTATGCCTAAAACATATATACAAAATTTCAACAAAATCCGTCGAGCCGTTTTCTCAGAAAATTGCCAACAAACGTACGTACGTACATACAGACGGAAAAAAATTTTATTCTTTAAAAGTTGCTTAAAATGGTCTAAAACGTCGACATTTGATGAAATTTTGAAATGTTCAAAAAACGGCTATCGCAATAGCTACCTAGCACATGCTAGGAAGCTAAAAATTATAGGTGATAGCAAAGAGTAACCATTATGGTTACTCTTTGGTGATAGTATGGTTAGCGTCGGTGATCAAACAACAAATCAAAATTTTAAACGCCACCTTGACCAAATCATACCGTCCATCGGACGATTTTCAAGTTGAGGAATTACAAAGCGATCAGGAAATGCAGATCTCAAATAAATTGGTTGCTGATGAGACCTCAATTTCACCTCGTTACAATTTACGCCCGAGAAAATAATTTATTTTTATAATCTTGTTTTTTTTTATGTGTATTAGTAAGGGTGGGGGTGTGCAATACTGTATTGTAAGCTTGTATTTGTTCAAAATAAACAGTTTGATTCCAGCGTTTGTCTTGTTTGGTTGTGCATACGTTACACAGTTGAAAATGAGCATTCCGGGTCAACTGTATCTTATAGAATAGTTATTTATATAACAAGAGCGCGAAGTTCAATTTCGCGCATTGAGACTGAAGGTATTTTGACGAGGCGAAGCCGAGTCAAAATATCAGTCAAATGCGCGAAATAACTTCGCGCTAGCGTTATATACAATATTTTTTCTACAACTGAACCGATTGTTAATTAAATTTGCTGTTTAAGTTCAACTTTGTCACGTGCGCGAAATACTTTTTTTCACTGTTGACGATTTCGCGCACGTTGTCAAGAGCAACCTTACTTATTAATTAACCGTTTAAAAATCTAGTACTTCGCGTTTCGAAATCCGTCAGAAAATGACAGGTTTTTATGACAGTTGTAGAAAAAATTTTATTCTAAACAAGTTCATTTCTATTCATTTTTTCGCTCCGAGCAATAGTTAACGAGATATTCGAAGTCAAATGTGAAAAAACACGACATTTTCCCATTTTTTCTTCGTTTTTTGTTTATAAAAATATGTTCCGGGCGTTTCCGGCCAGGGGGACTATGATTTTCGGAATCAGCGGATTTTTTTACATAGGGTACGCTTGGTGTCGTTGAGTGAAGTGACAACATCCAGCCCAAACCGTAATTTGACTGGACTGTATAAGTATAAATGTGCACAACTCTTGTGCAGATAAAGCGCATTTTTTTTACCGAAACAGTACAGTAGTAGTAGTAGGTAGAAAACGGTTTCTTTCGTTGAGACCTTTAATTAGAATACAATGAGAGACAAAATTAATGTTTAACCCCCCCCCCCCCCAAAGGCCAGGTTGCTCAATGATCTCGAAAGAGTCGCACGGGAAAGTTATACCTAGTTGTACAAATCAATTTATTTCGATGAGACCTTTCATTGGAATACCATAAAGGGTAGAACATGTGCCCCCCCCCACCCCCCGTTTTCTAAAGTTTAACTTGGCACCACTAAAGGCATGCGTATGCAAAATCTGAGACCAATTGGTTGTCGTATATAAAAGTTATGCACATTTTACTTTCAAAAACAGCATTTCAGGAAATAATTCGTGGGGGGGGGGGGCATTTTAGACAGCGAAATTTGATGTCCGTCTGGCACACCTTCCAGATATAGGCTACCTACTGCAAAATAATTCCAGGACTCTATAGGACCATTCCTCTAGAAGTAGTTCGAAACAACAGAAGTGGGTCCGGAGGGATGCACAAAACGCAAACCATTTTTTTTAATTCCTAAAAAATGCGCTAAAAATAGGAGAGAATGTAACGGTGGTGGGAAATACAAAGCACGCGGCGGAAGTCGCCATCATATAAATTTTTCGTTTGCACCACTCGTTATACCCATAACCTATAAGGAAATCCCTCGTTCCCGATTTTTATTCTTGATTATTTTGGTTGTGGTGTTGTGAAGGTGTATTTACCTCCTTTGCGCTGGTCAGTTATTGGTTATGTGGATAACACAGAAGAGACTCCTTTATACCCATTTCCGTCGCGTGCTCTTTAAATGCAAAGTTCTTCTCCTCTTATTTTTTACTCGCAAGATCTAGTAGCGTCAAGTGCTGAAATTTAAAAAAAAGTTGTATTTTTCAGGAACACACTAAAAGTTGTTTTTGCGATATAAGTAGGTATATGTACTTAGTTGTCTGACAAAGAGTAGCTTTATTGGCTTTCACTTTCACTAATGTTTTCCCCGTAAAAGTTGCAATGATTTCCACAGCCTTTTAGTGGTCTTTAGTTTAGATTAGAGCTTCTCCAAAAGATTTCAAGATACTCCTAGGAGTATTATTGTATTCTGCTTTCTACAGAGTATGATTCTTTATATTCCATACATGAGGGAAAATTGGGTTTGGGAACTTATTGGAATTACACAATAATGTCTGCAAATACTGAAAAGTAACATGCACCTTGAGCAAGAATTAAGATATGCTTAGATGATGTGGGATGCAGTTAACTAACAAACATTTTAACAATTAATTAATGAAGTAAATTTTAGATTGACCTTGCCCACCGGCCACCACAGATCCAACACAATGTGCCCAAATCATTGGATCGTTACACCAAATAACAATGGTCTATGCTATTACTAGGTAATGGAATAATAATAAAGTTTATCTACTTTGCGTTACTAATCGACTCATTAATGAAGGCTAAACGTGTTTTTGGTGATTTTTATTTGTCGTATATTGGTAACATCCGTCGCGGCACAGAATATGTCAATGTCAAACGTCAGTGATTGAGGTTAAATTGTTTGTTTTGATAATGAATTATTGAACTTTTGTGTAAGTTTAATAGTAAAGAAGACTTTCCTAGTTATATAAATCAGTGTAGGTAAGTGATACACCATAATTGTAAAGAAATACCTATGTTTGGCAATTTTAGTGTTTATTACTTGGAAATAAAGAATGCAGGTACTTGTGGGAAAGTGGATTCTTCGGTTACATGGCACCAGTAAGTAAATGCAATTATCTGCAATTCATTTATCCCATACTTGCTTTTAGATTCCCAAGTAAAAAAGTAACAAGAATGGTGGCTGCAAGCATGTGAACTATCGGAATTCGAGGATGTAAAAAGAAGGCTGTGTTCTCGTCATTTTAACTGTTATGAGTGCATCGATTTGGATGCACGCAAGCACGATGGGGGTCACTTAACACCTAAAAGATTTCCAACTCTACAATGTTACTTTCATTTTAAAATCAGTAAATGTCTTTAATTTAATTGTGTTGCTTTGAACATTAGTAATGTACCACTTTGTATTATAGCTGATGCGAACTTATCCGATTTCATGTTATATTCAAGGTATAATCCCTATAGTTATATTATTTCAATTGCAATTTAAGTTTCTAAATCGTTACAAGGTTTCCCATCGAGGTTGAAGGGTGTAACCGTAAACAAACTCGGCTGAGGAAGCTTGAAAGTTCTCCGTGAAAATGCTACAGATTCCAAGCAGAACGATAGGGAGCACCTCGAGCCAGGACGCATTGGGCTGCACACGAACATTGCTTTGAGTTAGCAATTAATTTGTTCCACTAGGCCTTTGGCTGCTGAGTGGTAACTGCAGGTGTGGAATCATTGCCGAAAACAATGTTGAGGGTACAAAAAACGTCCCTGATAGGTGATGGGAATTTAACCGTGATAGCCAACAGGTGACAAAAGCTTCAGCCACTTCCTCTGTCGTTATAATTTTGAGAGGATAGTCCTTGACCATCAAACATACTTACCCAGAGCCATCAGAAGATCAGGCAGTAGGATAGTCCGGTAGGTGGAATAGGGTCAATGTGAACCTGCATGAAACGAATAGAAGTCTGGGTGAAGTGTACGAATGGTGCGTGGTTGTGTTTACATATGGTAATGTGTTCCATTTCAAAAAATTTACATCCAAATTAAATGACAGATTATTTGAATTTGATTCCCTGCTACTAGATCAGTGATTACACAACATGGATAGAAGAAACAAACCACATTTACCTTTTTCGACATTAAAACAATCTCAATGCATTCAATACAAACAAAAGTTGTATGTAATAGAAGAGAATTAAGCGAGAGATTAAATAAATACAAGAGATTATTGTGAATACATCACATATTTGTATCACCAATATTTCACCTTAAAAACTACGTAAATAAATACACCGCCAAAAACGTAGAGTCAGTCTTTTAAAGCTTCTTGCAATTTCTTTCTGGCCGCGGCGACTCGATCTTCTTGTCTTCGAATATCATCGTCTTGAATATTAACGGCCTGTACAAGAGGTTGCTTAGGATCTAAAAATACGCCAGGATTTTTTTCTAGCGATGTACGAGACCCAGTCTGGCCCGTGATCGGTTGCGCCGAAACATGAAGTGCTGTAGCGACACTTTGAATAATTGTTTCCTCACAAACATTGGGCCCCACCGCTTTCAAACCTTTCGGTAATTCCATCGCCTCAAACTCGACACCGTCAAGATCGCACGCACGCAAACCCTCCAATCGTTTCTCCCATATCAATTGTTTAGGTTTCTCTTGCGATCCGTGTTTAAAGTCGGTTTTTACCCTACCTTCTTGAGTTTTATAGACTGTAACAGGTTGTTTGAAAATTGAAGCCGTTTGTCTGATTGGGGGCACCAGGGATGCATCATTGCGAACACCTCTGCTATAATACATAACGTCCACTTTACCGACGGTGATACCCGTTTTACGTAACATATCCTCTCGATGCCATCGTTTAGGCAATGCCGCACATTCATATTTCGTTTTTTCTATTGTTACACTCATAATTATTACGAACAGCAATGCAATCAACGTAAATTTTCTGTGGTTATAAAAACAGAAATGGCGGAGGCGGAGAAACAATAACAGTGACGTTCTTAAAGTCGATAAGTTAGCAACTCGCTTTTACGTTTTAATACAGCGCGTGTTATAGCGAACTGTAATCCAATTCACTCAACTCAACTGGTTACGGTTTATTTTACGTATGGCGGGAATATGCTTACGTTTCAAAATTCAAATAGCGAAAATCGTTTATTTATCCAAGTTTTCCATTTTTAACAAGCATTATTAAAGAGTTATCACGAATTTAATTTCAAAAACAAGATATAGGCAGCGGCGTAACTATCAGTGGGCAAGTGGAGACAAGACTCGCGAGTCGCGACCTCCGCAGTTTTGGGCATCTCATCTAAGGAACATTATCGTACCTACCCTATTTCATAGAGTAAATCCTCTATGTCTATTGTTATCATAGAATTTTACACCATTCAATTAATTTTCCAAAAACTCAGGAAAATAAATATCATTTCTTTATGTAACGAAATAGCCAATGGAAACAAAAGTTTATTGTGCAAGTGTATAACCACTTTATTTTTAATTTGATAAACCTTCGTTCATTTATTGCTATTTAGTTTTAAGTACCTTCTCAAGCGTATCATCATGGATCTAATAACTTTGATTGAAGTTTTTAGAGTATTTTCAGGAAACAATAAAAGTTGCTAAAGGGTTTACCAATAGGGACGATAGGATTTTAAACGTTTAAGGCGGCTATGTTGGATGCCAAACATTTGACATATGCTGTCAGTTGTCATCAGTAAGGCTTGCCATTTCATCATGAACAAGTTCACGTTGCCTCAACGCTTGGAAATTATCCAAAAACATGCCACACAGCGAACGCTACAATGAACTTATTGCGTCAACAGTTTGGTGAATCGTTGATTTCTCAAAATGGCCCCCACAATTGGCCGCCAAGATCATGCGATTTAACACCATTGGACTTCTTTTTGTGGGGCTATGTGAAGTCAAAGGTTTATGCGAATAAACCCAAGACTCTTGACGAGCTCGAGGCCAACATTCGAGCGACCATAGCTGCCATTCCACCCGATATGATCCACCGAGTCATCGAAAATTGGTCCGATCGGATGAGCCAGTGCAAAAAGAGCCGCGGTGACCATTTGAACGATATTTTGTTTAAATCATAAATGGCATGAAATACAGCATCTAATAAAACCAATCAAACCTAAATTTGACCAAATTGACTGTGTTTTATTTCAATTTAAAATCCTATCGCTCTTATTGGTAAACCCGTTATTATGGGCGCTTCTCTGTACATCCATACGTCCGTGTGAGAACGAGATTTCGGAACTGGAAGGTCGTAAAAAGTACATTGATATCCCGTGTGATAGATATAGGTCCCCATTTAGTGCAACAAGAAATTTCTAATCACTGCGTAATGGTGGCGTAATATGGAAGATTTTTGGTCATTCTCGTTCCGAGTTTGTAAAACTTCTCTCAAGTTATATCCCAAGAACATTTTTGATTTTGGTATCTGATGGAGATCTTTGAACATTAGAAAAATTCAATTGCACTTCTTGGTACCGCAACTAAAATATTATATTATAATTGGTTTTAAATTATTCCAACGGGCAGAACACATGTAATAAAAAAATTATTTCACTAAGGTGGACTTCAGATTCAGACGCCAGCCTTTACAGAGTTGCCACAGAGTCCAGAGTATATCATTTGTGAACTGTTTTTTTAATCCTTTGATTGGAAGAATGACTATTTAACAACTGACCTATTTTTCATATTCTTTTTAAATTTTCGTCTTGTACTAGGTTCCTGAAATTTGATTGTTAAACAAGTTGCATATTTTGAGAAAAATTTGGCTTAACTATGGACAAGGCAAGATTCTTCTTCAAAAGTCCCAAAATGCGCAAAAAGCTCGCTTCCCAATTGTGAAGGGTTATGTTTTAATTACACTAAAAATGTAGTAATAGTACTATTGCTTATAGTTCCAAATTTTATTACAGAATCATCTATAAACAATTCTGTCATCATGGACCGAAATTCTGGTGGCGAGGAAGGGGAAGTGGACGCAACGGATGTTGATGGCTTGGATGAAAGTCGCAAATTGATTCGAGAATTACGTCAAAAAACCAGAGCACAATCACAACAAATTATTGCCTGGAGAAGAGCATATAAATTGCAGGTTGGTACCTACTTACATTACGTAGATATAGTATATAGTAATTTTTGTATTGTATAAAATATTAAAAAAGTATGTATGAACCAAGATAAGGTTGTCTATCATGGGGATCTCCGAAACCATAGAAGATACGACGATGGTCAAATCAGGGAAAAGTTGCGCAATTTAACAGTTACATCATGCTTTAAAAAAACCAGAAATTTCCGATTACTTACTACCAGAAAAACCGAAATTTGCCGATTTGGTTTTTATTTTTTTTTATATTATTTGAACAGATATAAAACAAGATACGTACGAAGAATCGCATACGAATTTCAGTACGGGAATTTTTTGCCACTCGGCTCGCATTCGGTAACCAGACTTGTAATCCGGCTCATATTCAATAGCACTGATCTCTGAACTCGTAGAAATTGATTGGCGAAGGTTTGACATTGCTGTCTGTTTTCGTTCTCGAGTTAGAGGAGGTATAGGCGGACAGACAGACGAACAAAACCATCACATAAGGGGAATTTTATCTTTCGAAAAATTCCTCTAAAAATAAAGATTGTCAACATTGCCACTTTTTGATATTTTTAATACAACGTTTCGTTTCGGACTTTATTTTTTTATAATAATAATAGCCCCGTGTTGGAACATCTATAATGATGACGTTTTACGGGATAAATGGGTATGGACATACTAACCTTGGGTATGGATCACTTAATTTAGCTCGACCCTAACTGGAACGAATTTCAGGGAAGTAGTGTGACAACCACTACGCTCTAAAGTCGCCTATTATTACCTCAGGATGGTCCTTTTGTTTGTTTTTGAACTCCCATCAAACTTGCCTCTCCACCTTGTTGTATCGTTGGATCTGTCCGTGACTTACCTTGTATATTCTTGCCTCTGAAAATTGTGTGCATGCACTGTTTTCTATATTTGAGCGCCGGCTAGCCATATTTGAAATATTTAAGTACCTAAGAGAAATCAGTGTTAATCTTATTATGGGGATGCCTTTATCTACATAAAGCGTTGCTGACTCCCCGCAATCAAATCTGAATATTCCGAATTCCGTCAGTACTGAACTTGCGTTTTACAAAACTATGTCAATCAAGGAATGAAAATGGATTTATTCACATACACACCATTGTATAGGTATACAACGTGTTGCAACGACGACAGGCGGGACATAGGAAATCCCCTGTAAATTTAAAGAAGGTTAATTAACGAGTATTGGCTTCCCTAATTATTTTAGAGGAAAAATGTATTTAGGTTATTTGATACTGTGATTCGGTATAAGATCCTTATTCGCTTGGGTGGAATGACGCAATTCCCCAAAATCATGTAAAACCGCTGTTTCGCATCCAATTGCTTCCCAATATGATGGATTTATGAATATTCTAGGTCACCAACCTGATACAGCTGCTCTATGTTGAATTACAGCGAAATTTTCTTCTGCCCTAGGTGATGAGTTGATGACTCGTACCATTGAATAAAAACACTTTTTATTCAATGCTCGTACACGGTAAAGCTGTTCGCTTCGCTGCCCGTGTGCAAAATAATAATAATAATCTTAGATTCGGAAAATTGTAAATAACAATTACAGAAACGGCAAATCACGAACATACGAACATAACATGTATATGTATACCGGATGGTGCCTAGCGCGACGCAGCATACCTAGGGATTTCAATGGTAATATCTTTATAGTCAATTACTAGCTCCCCTAATTATTTTAGAGCAAAAGTCTAAATATGTTTTTTTTAGAGAAAAAAATAAGGCTTTTCAACACCGTAGAAATCGACAAAATACAAAAGTTCATTTTACAATAAATCAGATATGCCTTGGAATTACCTAAAAAAACGGCGATCACGTTGCAGTATTTGCCTTTGACCTTTATTCAATTTAAATTCATACTTGTTTATAAATTAGCGCTAGCGTTATATACAATATTTTTTTTCTATTTCGGTGCCACAATGATGATTTTGTACAACTGTTTTCGCCTTGTACAAAGACAGTGATTATAGTCGTTTTTTTTTGGTAACTCATCTGCATCTCTTAAGTTGGCAGTTACTAGTTAGTACAAGTAGGTACAATACTTCCATGTTTGAATTTCAAAATGTCAGTCTTACTAAGCTGCCAACCTAAAACTTAACGGCATAAAAAGTGTTCCCAACATAAAACAAGTTAGTTCTAATATTCCTTATAGTTTCTGATAATGATTTTTTTAATTAAATTAAAGCACCGAAATAGAAAAAATAGTATGAAAAACGCGTGTTACAATGCTTTATTGTAATACTCCTATCTTGCGGACACTCGTGGCTACGCTTCGCGTCGCCACTCGTGCCACAAAATAGTCGTATTACAATAGGTCGCATTGTAACACTTGTCTTTCAATATACTGTTACTGAATAGAAAGAATGATTTTGTAATATCTGTTTCGTTCTCTTTTTAAATTGGGGGTGGTTCATTTTTTTAGAGTTTCAGGAGCCGGTGTAAAACGGAGACTTTTTATAAAATGAATGTTGATGTTTTGGAATAGAGATTTTATTTTTATTTCTGGTGTTGTGATCGTGAATATGACTTATACATACTTTGTTATATTTGTGTCGGTTTTTATGAAGCTAAATAAGTAATTTAAAGATACAAGGCAGTGGCATTATTTTATGATGTTTGAAAAAATAAAGTTGTACTGAAAATCTCTCAACGGTGTCTCGTAGAGCTCAAAAAGTGGCAATAAGAAAGTGTTTAATTTTTTTTGTATCTGTTCAAATACCAGAAAAAGATTAAAACGAAATCGGTAAATTAAGGTTTTTCTCGATCTTCGAAAGTAATCGGAATTTTCTGGTTTTCTTTAAAACATGACAATAATTACCTATGCGCATCGTTTCTTTAATTTGACCATTATCGTATCTTCTATGTTTTCGGATATCTCCATGATAGACATCCTTATCTTGGAAACAGCGTAGGTATAGTAGAAATAAGATAAAATCACAGATTATTTAAATCTGTGATAAAATAAATACTTAGTCGAAGTAGGAAAAAACCAAATAGAAGCTAATTCAGTGGGCCATCTATGCGATGTATGCAGGATGGATTATTTGTCGTGCACAGCATTCAACAAAGATTTAGGTTTAGATTATACTGCAATACAGGGTAGTCTGAAGAAATTTTAAATTATATTATACTAGAGGAAGCCATGCGGTCCTAACGTTTTTGAAACGGTTATAGTAGTTTGGGGTGGGGGTGTAGAACTATCACTATGCAGTATGGTTCCATTCCCGTTTTCGTGCAGTTTAGTGTCCATCGTGATAGAACCGTGTGTTTGTTTATGACGCGTTTGTCAAAAATTGCCAATCAATAATGGCGGCGCAAAAAGCGTTTCGAGTTGAACTGTGTTTTGAGGCCATGGGTGCTCCCCAACCATAAACACAATTCTCAAGTGGGTCAGTACAAACTTCGAACAAATGGGAATATCGCATGAAGAGAAAACAGCCCGGAACCGAGCGTGTTCTTACTTGTGTTCGATGGCAGAGACATAAACTTAGGACAATTATAATGCACATTTTCTATTTGTTTAAAACAAGCGCGCGGCGAAAACCATCTTCATGCGCTCTCGTGGTCAATTTCCAAAATTGCAAAATATCTTTTTAGGCTATCATCACAAAAACGTTGATTTTGTGGTCGCTTTTGCGGCCATAAAGTTTAACTTTATTGTACGCTTCTGTCAAACTTTACTTTATTGTACACATCTGTCAAACCTACTTATTTGAAACTGATGTGTGAGAAACAGTAATCTGTTTGATACAAAGCGTCTATCTGGTCTAGCCCCATCAAGGATTGGGCCATCCACGTGCGTTTCTTTCATTTTCGGACTTGTAGGAATGTTTCACACTATTTTGCATAATCACAATGTTCACATTTAAAATTATAGTTTGACGTTTCAATCTTTGCTGCTTGCAGACCTTTTTGAAGTGTAGAACCAAAACATGAGGAAGATGTTATTGCTTACATTATTATACGAAGAATCAGCAGCAATTAACCGAGAACACAAGTAGCTGCCTATACCTACCATCAAAGTAGGTAATCAGGTTTCTAATAATTGTACAGCATGTTAACTATAAGGTCTTGGAAGCCACAGTTACGAAGGATTGCATTATTACAATTTTGTACAACGGAGGAAGTTGCGATTGTACTTTTACTCTCAAACGCCTGCTCTTATATCATATATGACTTAGGGTCGCAACGCTTGCAGCTTCCAAAATTTCATTTGGGGTATCTGAACTGTCGCTATCACCCATTTTGATACGCACAAAACACACGCAAAGATGCTAATTATAATTTATTACATATGACAGGAAATGCTTTGTTTTTAATTGTCTAAGATAACTATGATTTTCAGAAAAAATATGTTTATGAGCAAATTTTTGAATTCTTTTTTGATGATCGCCTAAAAAATGTTGTGTGCACCTTGGCCAAAAGTGATTTGTTAGGCCTAATCTGAATTGCGGCCTCGGCTACCGCCTCGGCCACAAACAGCAGCTTCGGCCAAAAAAGATCACTTTTACGGCCTTGGTACACAAATAACTATTATAGGCAATAACGCCAGGAAAATTTGTTTCCATTTTTCTTTATCAAAAGTTGGCACCCTAACATAACAATAAACGCCGGCGTTACTGTCTAGCTAAAGCATTCACCTTTCGCAGGAGTAGGTATTCAAAATCAAGAGTTTTCGTGCAACGTTACCGGTGTACTGTCCAGCCTTAAGAGTGAGTCGTTCCACAGTGTCATATTGTTAAACGAGACCCATAGAAGTGCCATGTAATTTACTAATACTATTAATGAACGTTAATAAAAAAAATTGTTGTCTTGAAAAACCCATAAGCGCAAACATTTATTTTACAGTCTACGAATCTTTATGACATGGACCTTGAATTATAAATCAACTATACCTACTTTCTTGTAGTCACGAATCTGTGCCCCCGCGTGGTTGTTTTGTAAATAAATTTCCGTACCTATAGGTATGCCGGAACCTTGGCCGGAACACTGCACATAGTACTATAAGTCTGAAAATGATTCACAAACAATGACGCAGTGGCACAGATCTTTGACTACCTACAAGTATAATTCAAATGATTTCAGAACAACCTTTATTGCAGTTTACTTTAAATGATGATTTGATACATTAATTTTGAAGTAAATGAAAAATTTGTTTTAGGAGACCTTAGTCTGGCGTTTGCAACGAGAGAAGGCCGACCAGCTTAAATTTTTATCTTCAAAGTTACTCTTATTTGAATCAAGACTAATTAGAAAACAGAAAGACATATCAACCTTATTAACTCACCGCGAGAGCATTATACATCGTCAACAAAGGATAATAGAGACCATTGTAAATAGATTAGTCGATAATGGCTTAGAGCTCCCTCATCGTGATTTATCAGAACTCGATACAAATTTATTAGACTTGGAGTCATTAAATGATTCTGATAGCGCTGTAGTAATGGAAGATGTCGACTCTGATAGCAATGTGACGCATATTCCCAGGTTTCGTTCTACGAATGCAGAGGGTGTAACGGTGGTTAGGTCTGTGTCGGATGCTATTGATCCCAATTTAAAGTACACTGCCCGTCGATCCAATGGATTTTTGAGACGCCCCGAAATATTGGAAACTGTATATAGCGTTGAAGAGGATGGCGATAACGATACCCAAAGCGAAAACAAAATAGATGCTATGAGAAAGCGGGATGCATTTGCGTCGCAACGTAGTGAAAAAGCAGTTCCGCCCGTTGAAGAACAGTTGGAATTAAATCGAGTAACAGAATGTGGTGAACCTGTTAGAGATTGGGCCTACAACTGTACTATAAAAACAGACGAGACGGAGAAAGTGGCCACCGGAACAAATCAAGTCACAACTTATAATAGGGTCATGTCAAATCACAGATCCGTCACAAAGCCGAAGGATGTGAAATATAAAAGGATAAATAAAGCTAAATCCAAAAGTTTAGAAGAGTTACGAGGGCGTCTGAAAAATTGGGTGGAACAAGGAAGTAAGCTTCCAGGGTTAGCTTTGGAACATAGTCAAAGTTATGCTTAATAGATAATAGATATAGTTTTGATCAATCAAAATTGTAATTTTACATAAAAGTGATCTAAAAATGTTCATGTGGATCAACTAGCTCATATCAAAACTTTTGTTTCCAGATAAGACAGTGTTAACAGTGACTCTGAATATTAATCTGTAAACATACAAAGCAAATAATGAGAATATGCTACATAGTCAACTATTGAATTGTACCAGCTGAACTTTTACTATACCTACTCTATTAACTTTAGCTAGGTACTAAAAATCAGAATAGCCATAACTACCTACTAACGTTATGTTCAAGGATGTTGGAACCTTCTTCAACGGTTACAATTGTGAAGAAGTAATGTTACTGTATTCGTAATAATGTGGATATTGCCAATGGTACCTATATACAAGATTAATATAAAATACATAGCAATTTTAACTTTTGCTGCACCTTGCTAATACTACGGAAGACGATTCATCTCGTAAGCCAGTTTGTCTATGCAGTATAATTTGTTATCCGTAAACAAATATTATAGTAAGCTATTTTATTTTCATGTCAACGTGCTATTTACCTACTCCTGTGGTTATTTAACAGTAGATAAGTTCCCAGTTTGAAATAGCCGTTTTGCTAATGTTTGAGAAAAATAAGAACGCCATCTTCTTTGTAAAGAAACGGTCGGGGCTTCATTATAAAAAAAAACAAATATTGGAATGTTTTCAATGACTGATATGGACTATTTCAAATCCTCATGAGTCTGTTCTTTCCAGTATCTGTATAATCTTATATTAATCACATCACACGCAGCTTAACCTACCTGCAGTAGGTATCATTATTATTTTGATAGACTGTAATAAAGGAGTACATTTTGTTTTGTTCATGATGGATTGTACTATACTATACAGGGTGTTTTTTTGGGAGCTTTAGTTAAAAGTTTCTGGGAAAGTAAAATAGGTAGGATTTTGAAAATTTGTACTTAGGAGTTACTCTGAAGGCCGAATCGATGTAAAATATTTTCAAAATGGCCGCACTTCCGGAAACATCGGAAGTAGATAGTAACTTCGTTATTTTAAATGGCAACCCCTATTTTTTATTGCATTTTTGGATTCTACGTGAAATTTCAGTTATTTTGATACCCATGTGTCGATATCTGCCATTTATGGTTTTTAAGTTATTTTTGACTTTAAGAAAAAAAAATGGCGGATGCAGATGGTACCTTGATAATGGATTACTTGAAAAAGGTTATAGTCATGGCAACCCATTTTTATCAGTGCATAGAGAATGAATAGGGCTTTCTTTTAGTGTACTTAAAAAAAAGTTAAGTTGCGTACAACCGCACCTATGGAGATCCAAATTTAAGAAACTTTAAAGTCTATAAACTCAGTTTTTTTTTAAATGAAATGACCATGTTTTTACTATTGCATGAGATAAGAGAATCGAAATTGGCATATTTTGATATTACATGTTCCTATAGCTATCTTTAACAGTTTCTGATTTATTCCCATTTCATTGAATTGATCTCGGAATTGATGCCATTTTTTTTTCGCATTTTCTTTTTAGTAGTTGGCCATGATTTTATAACAATCGAATTTTAAACAAATCAAGGAATGGATTCTTTAATACCACTGATTCTAGTTCTAGTCTAAATAATTCTTTAATAAATAACTCATTTAATAAGGATATAGGACAGAAAATTTTTGAAAAATCTAAACAGAGTCGTTCAACTGAATTTCTTAAACAACGTATAAGTCTGGAAATTAAGAGAGGTAACGCGATATCTGTTCTAGCAACAATTCCATACCAAAAATGTTTCAACAAAGTTTTTTATATTTTGCATTGAATTTATTTTGTTAATCTTGCATTTGCAATTCAATTCATTTTCTTAAATATTCTCTTGTAGGGCTTTGTATCACTTGTGCTTCAACGGTTTGTAGTGCATTAGGGGTACAAAATTTCCAAAATTCATACAATTTCGTTCTAGTTTTCGAATGAATGTACGGAAAGCACGCGCCGCGATTCTGCCCATTTCACCATAAATAACAATTAAATTCCAAAATAGGTGAAACCACTGCGAGTCGTTTTTCGATTTTTGAAAAACTTATGTTAACCTATAACAGTGGGTGATGGATTAGTGTCACTAGATTTGTTTAAAATTCAATTGTTATAGAATCATGGCCGACTACTAAAAAGAAAATCCTAAAAAATAGTGTCAATTCAATAAAATGGGAATAAGTCAGAAACTGTTAAAGATAGCTATAGGAACATGTATTGTCAAAATATGCCAATTTCGATTCTCTATCTCATGGAATAGTAAGAACATGGTCATTCCATTTAAAAAAACTGAGTTTTTAGTCTTTGAAGTTTCATAAATTTGGATATCCATAGGGGCGGTCGTACGCAACTTAACTTTTTTTAAGTGCACTAAAAGAAAGCCCTATTCATTCTCTATGCACTGATAAAAATAGGTTGCCATGACTACAACCGTTTGCAAGTAATCAATTATCAAGGTACCATCTGCATCCGCCATTTTTTTTCTTAAAGTCAAAATAACCATAAATGGTAGATATCGACATATGGGTATCAAAAGAAGTGAAATTTCACGTAGAATCCAAAAAAGCAATAAAAAAATAGGGGTTGCCATTTAAAATAACGAAGTTACTATCTACTTCCCGTGTTTCCGGAAGCGCGGCCATTTTGAAAATATTTTACATCGATTCGGCCTTCAGAGTAACTCCTAAGTACAAATTTTCAAAAACCTACCTATTTTACTTTCCCAGAAACTTTTAACTAAAGCTCCCAAAAAAACACCCTGTATAGGTAAGTATTGAATAATATGGTTTTCGTGTCTAATGACTACATTTGAAAAAAAGTATTAAATATTTCAACTTAGTTAAGCCCGTACCTATTGCCACTAATTGAGGATAATACCTACTAATTTCAGCATAGCTTTATAGATAGAAGATTTTCATTTTATTTGAGAAGCCACGTACTCGGAAAAATTTTGTCTTTCTAATCAAGTATGTAGGTATAGGTATACCTACCATACCTACCTAAAATTGTAGCTAGACATATTCAAGCGTCTTGGCCAACTACTTAAATAGGATCGTATCGATATTTACTGTCAATTGATGAGTTCTGCTTTTGTTACACAAATGTTTTAGTGCAACGTTAACTGTTTTAAACAATTTGTTTGGTAATTAATTGAAACAGGATAGGTGGTACCTACTTTATGAATATTACTTTGTGGAAGACTGTTAACTGTTAGCAAGCATTGAACGATACAGATTAAAAGTTTGGAATTCCTAATCACTGATCTGCACAGTTACGCTGAAAATACTATAGGTTTAACCTTTGGTTTAACTTTATAGTATTTGTCACACACTCTACTAAATTATGCAGGAATTAAAAGTTCTCAAGACAATGGCAAAAAGTAGACATTAGCGGTAGATACCTAGAAAGGCTAGTACCTACAAAGGTACCTATGAAATACTTTCTTACTCAAATGTGAATGGTAGGTACTAAATTATTTTTTTTAATAATAAATATTTGAGATCTTTAAATTGCACGACTGTACATTACAATTTAAGATAATCCATTCACACTTTCTAGTGCCATGGCATAAGCCTATTAAATTTGTACCTACGTATATTTAAGTACATTGGGATTAATTTAGTATCACTCAGTAGCAGACGTTACCAAACCAAGGATGCTTTGCAAAAATTGTCAATTTCACTGTTAGCAATTCGAAAATTCCTTAAATGTTCCTATATCTCTTTGTTTATTTCACATTAAATATTTGATTGTACATACTAGGTAAATAAGTAATTTATGTTTGATAACTATAACATATTCATGTAAAATGCTAAATGATGATTATTATGCCAATCGTTATAACATGGGCTTCTTCAAAACAGTAAAAAAGATGATATCTATTATACAGTGAGTTTTTTTTAAATGCGGACATAGGAGTTTACATGCAATGTAATTTCCCTATGTTCGATTTTAAAAAAAACACATCAATCTATGAGGTGTGTGCGGTTCACATTCCCAAATCGCGCAACTTGTGTGACTATGAACAGCAACTCTATAGTCTTTATGATCAAGAGCACTCGGTAAGATTTTTTTAAAGAAGCCATGTGAGGCCATAGCAACTTTAAGATACATTTTTCTTAAACTTACGATAACTTGAACTTACAGGCCACGCACTGACACCACAACTCATTGTGAACCAACCTTCAATTATTTGTAGGTCATGTGCACCTGGTATTCTACTAATTTGATCTATTCAATACATAAATGAAGAAAATAAGAAAATAAATACCGAAAACAATTACAATAAATGTCCGAAGTGTCCTCCATGACATTCTAAGCAATAACCTAACCGATTTCGTAATGAAATTGGACGGCGGTATTTTTAAAAATTTGACAGCTGTCAATTGTACCTACTACTCATTTGAACTACTCAATAGATTGATGTGTTTTTTTAAAAATCGAACATAGGGAAATTACATTGCATGCAAACTCCTATGTTCGCATTTGAAAAAAATGCACTGTATACCTACCTAAAATTAGAGAAGTGTAGGTATCTTATAAACAAAAACTACAGGTAGGTACATTGCAGCCACAAAAGCTGTCCTGTTCTGCGTACCCATATGAGGACCCTGTTTATCCACATTCGGTTTGCTGATTGATTTTAGTCACCTCAAGTTGTATATAAGAAATGTGATATGAGACATAAATTGGTTTTTTAGTTCCTTTATACGTAACATGTTCAATAATACTTATATATTTACTAAATAAGCTGTGGAATACCTTTATAGCATAGGTACATTATGAAAATTTGTGTATATAACTATTAAACATGCTATAGGGATATTATCACATGATTCTCTTACAAACCCATAAACGTATCTGTTAGGTAAATATATTATTACTTATTCTGTCGCATATAGCTGTAATCCTTTAATACATAAACTGCCTTTATAAATATGCGGAATATAGAGTACATAATTTATTTATAATTAAAATTCTTGTAAAGAAATAAAATGTGACAATCAGAACAGTCATCGTTAAAAAATAAAACTTGTATAGAATAAGCCTTTGAATTTTTCTATTATGTATCTAGGTATACAGGGTAGTAATAGGGCAGCATAGGGATTTCAATGGTAATGGTAATTTCTTTATAGTCAATTACTAGCTCCCCTAATTATTTTAGAGCAAAAGTCTAAATACGTTTTTTTAGAGAAAAAAATACTGCATCTGTTGATACTTTTAGTTATAATGTTCCATTTTTAAAACCGTAGAAATCGACAAAATAAAAAATTACATTTTTATAAATCAGTGATGCTTTGGAATCTTTTAACAAACTACAAGCGCATCGCATCTAAGTTATCGTTGTTTGACGTCGAATGATAAATTTTCATGTTTAATTCTGTTTCAAACTAACCGACACAATAAAAGGCATCTATGGGGTAATGTTTTTTTAGAGAATGTAATGCTGCATCTGCATCAGGTACTATTTGATTATCATTTTCCGGAACCAGAGTGTACCTACTACCTACATAATCAAAGAAAAAAAAACTGATTTGAGGAAGAATTGTTCTTAAACTTATATTCGGATTTTCCGCTACTGCAGCCAAAACTTGGAATGTATTATCGTTTTTCTGATGGTTTTGACCGACATTTTAACGTTATTGAACAGTTAGTTAACTAATTTGTATTGTAAACCACGTACCTATAAATTTAAATTTAATAAACGTCAAAGGCAAATACTGAAACGTGATCGCTGTTTTTTTTAGGTAATTCCAAGGCATATCTGATTTATTGTAAAATGAACCTTTTTATTTTGTCGATTTCTACGGTTTTGGAAAACGGAAAATTATAATTAATAGTAAGAACAGATGCAGTATTTTTTTCTCTAAAAAAACCTATTTAGAGTTTTGCTATAAAATAATTAGGGGAGCTAGTAATTGACTATAAAGAAATTACCATTGAAATCCCTATGCTGCGTCGCGCTAGGCACCACCCGGTATACAATTAAAATACGGCTGTTGGTATCTCCTAAAACTAGTAATGATTAGATTTAAAACTCTCAACTATAGTCACCTTACGCTCCTACTCGAGCGTACGCCAAGCTTCGTTCCTCAGGGCTGTTGTTAGCAAATAACCAAATATAATGGTCTGCAAGGAAGGGCTCCATGAAAAGGAGCACATCCCGTCGCTCGCTGTAGTGTAAGGTATGCGCGCATGGGCACATAAATTTGTAACCCTATTATTACAATAGCAATAATTTAATCAATTTTAAAAGAAAACTCACCTGAGGTATGGACTTCTGTACGTATCCGAATAACCATTATAACGGTTTGGTTTTGGCGCAAACCAGGACCGGTATTGCTCTGGTCTAACTCTACTCTGGAGGCGATGTGGTAACTCAACTCAGGGATCGCGGGGATGGATTGACAAGAAGCGCCACTGTGTTTTAAAGGAAAAGGAAGGAAAGGAAAGGGACTAAACAGAAAATCCTGAAAGAAAAATACAGGATAGATAACCCAATTAAATACGACCATGTACCTACCACAGTTACGTTTGGTAATTTTAATATTTCAAAACTAAATTGTTAAATTTCACAAATAGAATATTCCGGCAATAAATAATATTCTTATTGAAAATTGAATGCAAAGAGGAAGGAAGAGGGTCAGGGGAATGAATGAACGTACAGTGAAATTACGTTTGGGTCGCAACCAAGTGATCTTGGGTTTGGACTGATATCTTGCGGTAAGACCACATTTGTATGTGATTTGTGGGTAAGACCAACGATACCTGGATCACCGGTTACCTTTCGTTTCGACTTGCTATCCTGCACGTGTCCGTTTATCGTAGCGGAGTAGCAACTACAATACAACCATCCAGATCCAATGCTTTATTCATTGCAACCATCATAAGAACTAAGAAGTAGTGCATTGAGTTAGAAAACTAATGGAGGGAATCAAATGCTTGGCCAGACCACAGCATACCCAGAACAGCCATAAATAAAACACCTTTAGATGGGAAACTCATATGGGAGCAACTGGGAAAGAGTTTTTGAGGTTTAGCCACAGGCTAGTGATTTCCCCTATTGACACGGTATGGCGCTGTTCGCATAAGTATGAAATTGACATGCGTAAAGTTCAGCGTGCCCACGCGGCGTGGGTCAGTGTTGCCAACCGTGCTATAATTGTAGTATTTGTACCATTAATGAGAATGCTTGTCCTATGTATTTTTTCAATAGATATACTACGCAAATTGTACCATAATTATGAGTAAGTACGTAAAAACTGTTTTCTTGGATCAAATAATCAAATAAACGTAAAGAATATAATTTCTGCACTACTAGATGGCGTAGGGAGCTATAATACACAGTCCTTCATATACTTTGGTCTGTGGTCTGTGGTTCTGTGGTCTGTGGTTAAATATACGCGCAGATCGCAGAATCACGTCATCACGTGTGTTTTGTTTACTTACGTATGCCATCGCCCATCTTGCGACTTGCTTTTATGCTTTGTGTGTAAATTGTGGACATTGTGAAATCTTGGTTTTGTTTGTTAACGCTGTCCACAATTTCTCTATAAACGTGCATATTTAACGCAGTTACAAGGTACGTAAATGTAGATGTTAGCATTTCAACTATGAAATAAAACAAGTTTATGTTGCGTACTATTTTTTGGGTTTACTGAGTACTACAATTTTACTTCAATTGTACTCGTAAAATTGTCCCAGGGTTGGCAACTCTGGCGTGGGTTGACATAAACAAACCATTGGTTACGTTGATCGTGTTATTCCATCGTGTGTGATTTTCTCTCTATTTTTGCAAATGTTTGTTCTATCATCTTAACTTAAGATTGCTTTCTTAGTTCCGATCCGCGTGTAGTTATAGTTTACTTCGTTCGGCAACGTCTTTCGGAGTGTACAAATTCACTTTTTTGTTGTATATAGGACCTTTTCGTAGAATAGTGCTTTAGTTATTTAGCAAGAACTTTTATGTACATTAATATATTACACGTGTTTAGTTAAAGACTATAGCTTGGTAAGTTGCCTAATTAAGTAAGCCTTTTCACCTAAACATTTCACAAATTGTAAAAATCAAAACTATATCGATAACATTTTCTAGTATTATGGATCTTCCAACCATTAAATATAAGAACAAATGTTCTGTACCAGGCTGTAACGACAAAGTGAGTAAACGTCACCGTTTTCCGAAACAAGAAGGTTTACTTCAACAATGGTTGCATGCTATCCAGTCACCTAAATTAGCGAACTATAATGCAGCGTACATACGTCGAAGTTGTTTTGTATGTAGCCAACATTTCTCTCAAGAATACTTGTTATATGGGACAAGAAAAGGTATAACGGAAGATGCTGTCCCAAGCTTAAATTTACCAGGTATGATCAAAAACTGAAATAATGTGGTGTCTATTTTAAATTATTAATGTTACAGTTGCACCTGATGTTGCGTCCATAGTTCCACAAGTGGAAGATCACGTTACGGAAAATCCCTCACAAGTTTGCAGCTTTATAAATGAACCATCAACATCACGTAGTTTGCAAGGTACCTATTGCGATATGCTTGTTTAAATTTTTAATACAAACTACCTACTTTTAGTTATACCTATCCCTGAGAACTTGAAAATTGCTAATTTGGATTGCCCATTACCATTGCAACAGTCACTGGAAAATATACCATCCTCACATCCACAACAGATTAAATCATTACCATTATGTAAGTATTTCTAAAGTAAAATGTGGATCATAAATTTAACCAAACTCTTACAGGTATTAAAAAACGGCGAAGCATTTTAGAACAAATTAATGTAACTCGAACCAAGTTCTTGTCACCACGGTGTAAAAAACTGTACAGTATGCAGATACGTGAAATAGTCAAAACAGCTAAAATGCAGTCTAAAATTAACGATTTTAAAACAAGGCTACGTAATGCAGAGGTAATGATAAACTCGCCCACACATCTAAAATTTTTCGAAACTGTGAATAAAACTACGGAAATGTTTATACTCCAACAAGTTAGAACCCAGAAGCAACCACCCCACGGTCGACGATTTTCATTGGATGAAAAAATATTTGCTCTAACCTTACTGAAAGCGGGTCCCAAAGTGTTCCGATTATTATCAAAAATATTCAGCATGCCATCACGGAAAACACTATTAAATGTACTAAATAAATTACCATTGCGCCCAGGCATAAATAAACAGCTATTTAGAAGTTTGGAATGTGTTGTGGCAAGCATGGAAGAAAATCAGAAGATCGCTGCTTTGGTCTTTGATGAAATGGCTATATCTCCCTCTGTTACGTACAATTCCAGTCTGAAATGCGTAGATGGACTTGAACATTGTGAGCAACGATCACCTCGAATTGCTACATATGCCAATGTCTTCATGTTGAAGGGCCTCTATCGACAGTGGAAACAACCATTGGCATTTACATTTAGTTCTGGACCTATTAAATCAGTTCTATTGAAGACCATGATTAAGAAAATAATTGAAGAGTGTCAAGTAATTGGAGTAGAAGTAATCGCAACAATCTGCGATCAAGGGGCTGCAAATAGAGCTGCAATAAATAGCCTATTACGGGATACTGCAGAATATTTACAAACACAAGGCATAGAGAATCGATATCATGGATTTCTGATAAAGAAGCAGGAGGTTGTCCCATTGTACGATGTGCCGCATTTATTTAAAGGGATCCGCAATAATTTGATGAAATACAATGCACGATTTACCCAAAATGATGTAATCAAAGTTGCAAAATGGGAGCACATTGAGAAGTTTTACCTCTTGGATACCATGGACCCCACTCGTCTGTGTGTCAAACTAACGGATGCACATATATATGCTAAGCATATGAATAAAATGAAAGTGTCACTAATGACGCAAGTATTTAGCTGGAATGTTGGCTCACTTATGAAGCGTATATCCCAGTGGAGTAAGTAACTCAAATGTAACTAACATTCTTTTAAATAATATCTTGAATTATGTAGGTACAAGTCGATCTGTTTGTGCATCATTTCATCATTTTTACTAAATCAAGACCTTCCTGGTGTTGAGCCACTAGAACCCGCAGTTGCTGTCGAGGTGCCTGTTTCCGCCATTGCCTATAAAAGGAGTCCGGTAGCTTCTTCCACAGTAGCGTATTTTGCTGGGTACATAGGGAAAAAAATGATTAAAAAAACTAAAGGCTGTGAAAGTTGTAACAATAAACTAAGTTACAGTGATGGGAATGTTCCCATGGAAGTGATAGAAGCCAGACAATATCCAGGATCGAAATTGTATAGGCCAGGAAGCTATTTATTTTTCATTTGTGGGCAAGTATTATCTCGCTCTTTATATATAATTCCTAGGCACTGCGCTAAGGATAAACTCAGTGATTTTTTGTTAACACATTTAATGCAAACTTTGAACTTTAATAGCTTCAATTGCCCATCTCACCCTAATTTAGGAAAGCTCATTGTTTCATTTTTAGTAAGATGCATCCTGTACTTTTGGTGCAAACAAGTTAACCGTATTTTAACAGGAAAAGATACAAAATTTGAACGGTTTTTAAAATTAACATCTAATCTATCTCTAGTAGATCCAATAAAATTGCATGCCCATAATCTACATTTACAGAAATGTAAATATAAAAAATAGTTGTACTAATACTTTGTAAATATTGTTTGTCGATGTAGTGTTTAGTGTAAGTACCTTTTAGTATAGTTGTAATCTCGGTTGTAATCGTACAAGTTATAACGTAATTACTCAAATTCAAGTATAAAGCATTATATTTTGTAAAGCAAGTATACAGTACGCAAAATAAATTCGCTTTCTAATACTTTTTTTGTTAATTATAGACAACGTTAAAGTCAAGTGTCGATTATAAACTGTTCAGATATTGTATAAATGTGCTTGAATGTAAATACATGAATTGTGATACTTTAAATGATACATAAAGTTCATTTAAGGTATTACAATTCGTGTATTTACATTCAATCTTAATTTCAAACACATTAATACAAGATTTGAATTTCCCGCTTTCAATTATTACTTGCCCCTATTGACACGGGATGGCGCTTTTTACAATTCCAGTCGGTAACATGGGAGTTTCCCATCTAAAGGTGTTTTATTTATGCAGAACAGCATGAAAACTTACTCCTGTAAAATTTTGTTCTCTAAATTTGACCTTGCGCCATTTGCATTGGTATAAAAGGCAGAGCCGTATTCAGAAAATTTAATATAAATGGTGACAGCTTGGTATCTTCTCTTATATCGGGCGATCAAAAATGAGTGACTGTCGAGTCGCCTTTGGAAGTTCGAGTTAAGCACGATGTCCCATGTAAACAAAAATTCCAAAGGTGACTCGACGGTCACTCATTTTTGATCGCTATGTATATATGCTTGGTATAGGTATCAACAGGACCGTATCAAGTAGTAGATTTGTATATCAATGCACTGTTTTTTTAAGGTAGAAAAAGAACAATGTGAGATAGAATAAACTTTATTGGTGGCGCCAGATAATAAGTTTTTGAGTGTTATTTGTTTTAAAATTCCTATTTATAATTTTTAGTGTATAAAACAATCGGGTCCGAATGTAAAGTTTTAAAACATATTGCAATGGAAAGTGTTTGCAAGGGTGTGAATATTTCACTTGTGGAGAGGTGGAAAGTATGTAAATAAAATTACTACGCCACTGCTAGGAACGAAATAATGAATCGCGCAAACAACAAATTGACTACGCCCATGATAAATCTATACCAAGATGGCAGGATGCGCGATTAGTTGCGCAAAATTTTCCCGCGCTAGTGAGTTTTCATGCTGTTCTGGGTATGCTGTGGCCAGACGTAGACCACGGGAACCAAAAGTGGCCTCTAAGGGTACGTTCCACTTAACGCCCACAACGACCACGACCGCGACCACGGTTTTATCGTTCCACTAGCTTAGAGGCGTTGTGGGCGAACCCTTAAGTGGAACGCTTTTGAGTGCGGTGTGACGTCACGCGTGAGTGAACAGTTTTCCAACATGGACGCCGTTGAAGAAATCGTAATGCGTAAAGGATA